TATTTCTTGATATTGCATGTTTCTATATTGGGATGGATAAAGATTATGTGATGACAATACTAGATGGTTGTGGATTCTTTCCAGAAATTGGTATGAAAGTTCTTCTTGAAAGGTCTCTTATAGCAATTAACCCATTTAATAAGCTAGAAATGCATAACCTACTCCGAGACATGGGAAGAGAGATTGTTCATGAAGTATCACCATCTCACCCAGGATATCGCAGCAGGCTTTGGTTTCACCAGGATGTAGTAAATGTATTAACGAAACACATGGTAAAATGTTAAATGCATTTCGTAAATAAATCTAAAAATGTGCTATACTTAACTAGAATTAATAATATTCTTTATTTGTATTTAGGGGACGGAAGCTGTGGAAGGTCTCAGCTTAGGTGTGCCAGCACTAGAAGATGATCTTATAAGCACCAAAGCATTTGCGAGGATGATCAACTTAAGATTGCTGCAAATCGATTCTGTACATTTCACCGGTTCCTGTGAAAAAATTTCAAAAGAATTAAGATGGCTCTGTTGGCGTCGATGTCCACTAATGGTTCTACCGCCCAATCTTTATCTAGACAACTTGGTTGTTCTTGACATGCAATACAGTAGTATCAAAAAAGTTTGGAAGGAGACAAAAGTAATTAAAATCACTCTCACAATGCTATGTTTTTTCTTTTTATTTTGATATTCTAGATCTTTTTTTCCTTAGCGCATATTATGGATTTACTGTTATTTTCTTTTTCTTATTTCAACAGGCTCTTCACAAGCTTAAAATACTAGATCTGAGCTATTCGGTATACCTTGGAAAGACACCAAACTTTGCAAAACTCTCAAGCCTACGAAGACTTGAACTTGAAGGTTGCACAGGTTTAGTTGAGGTTGATCAATCTATTGGACATCTGGAAAAACTTGAATTCTTGAATTTGGCAGAGTGCAAGAACATAAGTGAACTTCCAGACAGCATTTGCAACTTAAGGTCTCTTGAGACAGTGAACCTCAATGGTTGCTCAAAACTTTGTAATTTGCCAGAGCATTTGGGTAAATTGGAAGCTTTGAGAAAGCTTGTTTTAAGTGGATCTGCTATTACAGAGTTGCCTACTTCGATCGGACTTTTGAAGAACCTTGAAGATCTATCTTTGGCTGGACTTAGAAAAGAGTTACCTTCTAAGTCTTGGTTCTCATACTTTTCCTCATGGATCTCACCAAAAAGTAGTGTGGGTTCTTCTTCTTTACTGCTACCAGCAACGTTCTCTCAGTTAAGCTCATTAAGAAAGCTTAATCTTTGTGACCTCAACTTGTCTGACCATGAAATTTCCATTGACTTTGGGAGTTTCCATTTTTTGTGGAGTTTGGATTTACAAGGAAACAACTTCTGTAACCTACCCGCAGGAATCAGCAACCATCCAAGGTTAGAGAGACTTGTATTGAATAACTGCAAAAACCTTAGATCCATCACGGAGCTTCCTAAAAATTTAACGGCCTTATACGCAAAGCAATGCACATCAATTGAGAGATACCCAAACTTATCAAACATTGGTAGAAAACTTCTTAGAATCGCAATTAGTAATTGTCGCGAAGTAGCTGACATTCAAGGTTGGGATTTTCGCTCATTTCAGAAATTGTCTTCTTCTTGGCCTATTGGACGAGATCTTAACCAGCCAGAGGTCTTTCTCTATCTCTCTCTGTATACATATAATATATATTATCATGCATGATAATGTTCATAACTACTAGTATTTCTTTGAAACAGAAGTCGTTGTATTCCAAGTTTAAGTATTTGGAAGCTTACTTCCCAGCGAGAGAGGTGCCAGATTGGTTCGACTATAAAGAAATTGGATCTTCGATACTGTTTTGTATGCCTTCAATCCCGATTGGTTTAGATCGAGGTATGATTGTGTGCGCAATCTATTCGGTCAATGAAGAATGCAATGACGAAAGCACTTCTACAGCTTCTCTTACCATATATTTTAAGAATAAAACAAAGGGCTGTGAGACTTTTGATAGGTCACATGGTTCCCTCGATGGGAATATATTGCAAGATCACGCGTGGGTGAGTTACATGGCACCTAGTTTGAACGATGATGTAAAATCTTTTATCGACGATGTAAACGCTGAAGAAGGAGATGAAATTGAAGTTTCAATTGAGCCGCATGGTGGAATTCTTGTGAAGAAATGTGGTATTCATCTGCGAATTCATGGGTAGATGAGGGTAAGTTTTAAGAGCCTTCATTGATTTATTTTATTTATTGTTGAGACCAATATTAATTTTATTCATTGTCAATATCATAATAGGGAAATTTTTCAGAAATAAATTACGTTTTAAAGATTCATTTGCATGATTATTGAGAGATCAATGATTGAATGGTAGTTTAATTATATATATTGAAAAAAAAAGTTAAAAATATTGATATCAAAATTATTGTACAAATATTTTTAAAATACGAAATCACATTAAAAATAAATGTAAAATTTATAACAATTATGAGTGAATATGAAAATTTTAATTTTTATTAGCATTATCTTATTTTTGTTTTATTTTTAATTTAATATATTTCAATTAAACTAGTAAAATTTCTAACTACGTTGCTAATAATCAATTCCTTGTAAGCCAATCACCCAGCCAAAATCAAATTACTCCAATACTGATGCAGAATAAAAAAAATCGTTGAAGATTTTTTTTTACGGTCTATAAATATGTGATTATGTTTAAAGTTAAGAGCATTATTTTGTAAGACATTGATAAATTATTATATGAAATCATGTTTCTGTTAAAAAAATTAACTACTATTTATTAATTTTTCATTTTTAAAATGATTATCAAATACAATATAAATCTAATAAAATTAATTTCAAAAGATAATAATTAATGCAACAATATAATTATATTCACTCCAAACGAAATTGAAAATATATAAAACCAAAAAATCAGCTTAATTTTTTCCACTATTTAGAATAAAAATATATAATTATATGTTTTCATTTAGTTATTGATTTTCTTGTATTAAATTTAAATTTAAATCTTTGCAAATGAGTATAAAATTTTCTTTATAGCATGCTTTAAGACAATTGCAATATTCATTACCATCCAATATACATTACACCTTTTATTTGAAATATTCAAACTTGCCACTGACGATCATTGACCATATTATTCCCACTAACAATCTCTTCCATATAGCAATAATTTTGTGGTTTCTATAGTTTCATATAATAAATTTTTTAATTTAAAATTTTAAGTTTTGATTATAAAAATATGAAATATGCAGTAAAAAATTAAAGAATTTTAAAATATTGCTTGTAAAAAAATAAAAAAAATTATAAAAAAAGTTGATTTTAAGTGAAATAAATTTCAATTATTTAGACTCAAATATTATTTAATTTTATTTAAATATTATTATTAAATGAGATATGATAATATATATATCTTTATTTAAACTTCCTTAGGTAACTACATGTTGATCTACCATATTTATTTTCCTCATTTTATATTGAATTTTTATATTTTTATATTAAATTTACTAATTATATTATAATTGCATTTTCATATATATATATATAATTGCATAAATTAATTTAAATAATATCCAAATTCAAAAAAATCCACGATGCAAAAATAATTTTAATTTTTTCCGACATAAAATTAACCGACGCAAAGCCGCCGTTGATACGGCCCAATTTGACGCAACTTGACGCTTCTTCCATTGACCCCTTTCCATAAACCTTTTCTCTACTAAACGATAAAGCACCTTTCAAAATGGACACAACCGCACCATCCACAACCCGAGGCGGTGGCGGCGGAGGTGCACCTTTCCTCCTAAAGACATACGACATGTAGAGGACTCTTCGACCGACGAGATCGTGTCATGGAGCTCCAGCAAAAACAGCTTTATCGTTTGGAATCCTCCTGAATTTGCCCGCCTTTTGCTTCCCACCTATTTCAAGCACAATAACTTCTCCAGCTTCGTCAGGCAGCTTAATACCTATGTGGGTTTCTCTTCTTTTTGCTTTTTTTAAAGGATTTTCTTTCTGGGTTCTTTTATTCATTTAACTTGATTGAATTCTTTGATAATTCTGGGAAATTATGGGTTTTTATTTACCGTTTAACTTCATTTCTTCATGGGTTTTTTATTTGGAACTGTAACAATTTTGATTTAAAGCTGATTAGGATATCTTGGCCTGGAGCCGGCACAAAAATTTAAGGTCGACCAATGTCTTCTGTTGTCATTTATAAGGTGATTTCTATGAGGGGTGGGTCGTTTTCTTGGTCAATGAACTATGGAGGTGAATCAACCTTGTACAGAAACATGGGGATTGTAATTAGTCTTTTCTAATTTGGATTTAGGAATCTTCTGCGTAATTGTTTCAGATTTTCATTTTTCTTTATTGTGCATTTCTTCTATGAATAACAGAAACTTTTGATCTTTTCTAGTGAAGAGAATTGTTCTTCATTGAATCGGAGCTTAGCTCAGTTGGTTCATGTAGCTACTTTATGAGTTGGCATCCGGTAGGTCTAGGATTCAAATCCCAATATCGCAACCATTTCCCCTATCTCTAGGTTTTGGGCTCTTTGTATAAAAAAAATTGATCCGTCACTAAGGTATCACTTGCATGTTTATCTTCGATTCATAGGCTGTTCATATGAATGTTACCAATAGTTTTCTATTACCTTTAGTTTGCTTAGGTTAGATATATGAGGATTGGAGTGGTTAAGAATGATCTGAGTGCATACGAATGTAATTTGGCAACAGGGGTTCCATAAGATTGATCCTGAAAGGTGGGAATTTGCTAATGAAGATTTTGTGAAAGACCAAAAGAATCTTCTTAAGAATATCCACCGTAGAAAACCTATATACAGCCACAGTAATCCTCATGGTTCTATGATAGATACGGAAAGAGCTGGATTTGAAGAAGAAATAGAAAAGCTTTAAAGTGAGAAAGCTGCACTTGAGGCTAATGTTTTGAGGTTTAGACAAGAGCAATCAGCTGCAAAGCATCAATTGGAAGAACTGACACTGTGAGCTGATCAAATGGAGCGGAGGCAGGACACTTTGTTTGATTTCTTACAAAAGGCTGTTCAAGACCGTACTTTTGTTGAACATCTTGTTCATAAGATTGAATCTATGGATGTTGCAGCATACAATAAGAAAAGACGATTGCCTTATATTGATCAAACCAAGCCAGTTGGAGAAAATAGTCTTTTGGAGAACAACAGTAGTTCTGGACCTGAGATAGGAAATATTTTGCACCAAAGTTTCTCAAACAAGCTAAGACTAGAATTGTCACCTGCTGTTTCAGATATTAACTTGGTTTCTAATAGCACACAAAGTTCTAATGAAGATAGAGCAAGTCCACAGAGAAGGGTCTGTGAAGGAGAACCAAAGGATGCTCAGACCAGATCAGAGGGCCTTTTATTCGCACCTGAAACGTTAGATCTTTCAGATACGGGTGCATCTTTTACATTCAAAATGGATTCATCTTTCACGCAGAGAGTACAAATGAATGAAATCCCAACAGTACATTCCCTGCAACAGAGATTAAATTCCAATGAAGAACCTGATAGTCGTGTTTCCTGTCAATTAAATCTAACTCTGGCATCTTCATTACAAGTCAATAGAAGTCCTAGCTTAACTATGATGTCCCAACAACGTCGGTAAATTGTAAAAGTCCCAGAGTTAGGATTTGATGCCAACACTAAAGACTCTGATACTAGAGCTTCTGGGAACACCAGAAACATGATTGATGAGTAAGCAACATTTTCTTCACCAAAAGAAGGCCCTAATACAAATCAAGAGCCTACGACTGCTCCAGTTAGAGCGAATGATGTATTTTGGGAACAGTTCCTTACGGAAAGACCAGGCTCCTCTGACAATGAAGAGGCCAGTTCTAATTATCAAGCAAACCCATATGAAGAGCAGGAAGACAAAAGATTGGGTCATGGACCACCAAGGAATGCTAAAAACATGGAGTAGCTTAGTCTTTGAGCAGCAAAATTGCCAATTTTCCATAAATCCAGTGACAAATCTAAAAAGGTCTCTCTTACACCTTTTCTAAAATCGTTTTGATTAAAATAATGTTGGACTCCATTTGTGTTTCCATGTTGATATAAGTGCTCACATTGGAGAGATAACAACCTTTTGGCATTAGTGAAATCAAATTATGTAGTTGTACCATCTAGTTTTCAAGTTTTCAGTACCTAATTAACAGGCACTTATCTTGAGAAACTGAAGTAATCTGCTTTTCTTTTTCCTGTAACAAAACTGAAGTCTCTTATTACTGTTGCATTTCATTTCTTAATTTTCCGAAGTTTTCAGTAACTAGAACTTTCATTTTTGGCAAATTGAAGCAGAATCGATGTCTCTGTCTTAAGATGGTCATCTGACATTTCATCTCATAGATTTTGAATGTTGTTTGTTGTTGCATCAGTCTTGAGATATCATAGTTTTCCCTTTCGACCAATTGATGTATAGATTATTCATTAGTTGGTGCAGTGAACATTATGCATGATACAAGATCTTAAATCTTTTGAGAAAGTAGGATTCATCTGAAAATTACATTAGCACAATACAGTGATAATGTGATAGGTAAAATAAAAAAATGGAAAACTACCTTTGCTTATGTGGTTCTTAGATTTAGAGTAAAAGGGTCAATTGAGTGTTACATTCAAGCATTACTTCATCTACATAGGTGTTGCAAGCAATTATGGATGAGTTGGCCTTGACAGGCGAATATGAATACATAGAGTTAGTTCTTGTGAAATGATTAGACAACCCAAGTGCACAGAAATGCTTTCGTTCTTCCATAGCATTGGAAAAAAGTTCTACTTATGCAACAAATGCTGCTCTGGTAACCAACCACCGAAAGGAAATTTTAATGTCCCTATGGTTTTATTGTTAATCCTCCATGCTTTTATCTTATTGATAAAAACTTAAAAATACGTTGGAAAGGGTTGGAGCTTCTAATCCAACTTGGACTAAAACTGATGTTTGTGGCTACTGAGATGTTTCGAAAGGAAGAAAGCAGGCTGCAACAAGTAGGTTAATCATTGGGATATATCAAATGCTGCATGGATAGCCGCCCAGTTGTTGCTTAGAGCTCCTAGTCTTGTTAATTTCCACTTTTATCATGTGTTCAACTTAGAGCCGATAAATTTGACTTGAAAATTCCATCCGAATCCAATCCTGATCTAGTCTGAGTTGATGAGGAAAAAAAATAATATTTCAGCACATTCAGGGAAAATTTTAAATATAATGAAGTTCAAGAATTTTCTTATTAAAATTGATTTAATAAAAAATTTAAATCGATAAATTAATATTCAATAAAAATCTTAATAATATATAAAAGAATTGTGACATAATAATTGTGAGGAAAATCAATTATGACATAATAAGCCTAGTAATACTAGAATCCTTGGCAAGCAAGAAAGCCATTACTCTCATTGCTGACAGTAAAAAAAATAACAGTCAAGAAAACCAGTTTACAGTTATGAAGAAGATACAGACAAACAATACCAGTCTAAGATGATATGAACACAATCATATAGTAATTTTTAAAAAATAAAGATATAGATATATTAAGATACGGTAATAAATTTATATATATATATATATATTATAATCATTAATTAAAAATATATAATAGATTTTGAGCTAATTTTTAAAAGGTAATTACTTTTGCATAAAAAAAGGATGGTAGACACAATAATAAAGGAATTGTTAATCTAACATGGATTTTTATTTATTTAATGTTATTTTGTTGCATAATTTAATCTTTAAATGTATCAAAAACGTCAAAGTATTTAACATAAATATCGATTTAAGGATATAGAAGGGGTCATAGGTTTCCGATTATCAATAATTTTACATGGTGTGGAATGTCAACTAGTAATATTGGAACTTGAGATTTTTCCTAAGTATTCCATAACACTCTTGAATCAATCTAGTTACAGAAGACATGGGTTTCAATTTTAGAAGTGTCAAACATGGTTAGATAGTTTTATGTTATCGATATAATTGGTACGGATATTGATCATAATTGACACATTTAATTGTTATAATAATGTCGTCTGCTACGCAAAATTCATTTATATTTGTATTGTATTGAGTTAGAAGATTTAGGTTTAATTAGATTGACACAACATAACCCTCAAGCGTTAATACCAGCATTGGACATATGGATTGGCATGGTATGACATACAATAATTAATATGTCAAGTTGTGCAAGTTCAATAAATAATATAAATGAGTTTAGTATGTAATCTTTACTTGTATTTTATGTTACTCTTATCATGCAATGGACATTCTTTTATCCTTTTAATACTTTATATTAGCAATTTATAAAAATTAAAATTTATTAATAAATTTACTTATAAAATATTTAAACTATTAATAGATAAAAATTAAAATTTTTTCATTTTGAATATTATTTTTTAAAAACAAGAACTATAAATGTATTATTTAAAAATTGATTATGAAAAACCAAAAAAAAAACACATAATATAAATGACCGTCATATGGTGAAAATGAAATGTAAAATAATAATGTGATATCTATTTTTTTAATTTAAAGAAGTGATATTAGTATTAGTTAATTTAACATATTTGATGAATTTTTTAACCCTTTATTTGTAAATATAGATATTTTACCGAATTATATAAATTATATGCCTCATGTATTAATTTCATATATTAATTTTTAAAGATAGTTGAAAAACAAAAAAAAAAAATTCCTCAAAAAAATAATACAAAAATTAAGAAACTATTAATCGGTCTATGACTAAAAGAATAGTGCCATTTTAGATGCGACTTGACCCATAAAGGCTAAAAGTCATATGTTGTGTTGGAGTATACTTTTAGTATTTATGAGTCATATCAACCCAGCACGTTAAATAATAATGTTGGCTGACATAACCCATTGTACACATGGGCTATTTTTTTTAATGAATTGTACTAGCCTAACACGATTCATTTGACACTTTTACTTAGTCTAAATTCAAGCATCATAATGAATCAAATTTACTTTAACTTACAAATTAAGATTTATGGAACTCATATAAAAGAATGTCAACTAGGAAGTACTGGTGAGATATTGACTCAAATCTCAAAATATTTGGTGAAAGATTTTTTTAAAAAATTAATTAGATATGACTTAATTGAGAGGAAGACCTATAATCGAAGAATTTTATAAGAAAAGAAATTTTTGGTGAGTAAATTAATAGTCTTATAAACAATGAGAGTCTCAATAAAATTAAGTATAAGATAAAGACGTAAAAAAATTATAAGATTTTATCGAGATAAAAACACAGAAGACTAAAAAAGATTGAGAGAATACTTATAGATGTGTATATTTGAATGTTTAATGTGTGATACTCCAAAGGACTAGATGAAAAAAAGAGGATCCATGAGTATGATAATTCTTATGTTTGTGAATAAATTAGATAAGAACAAAAGGATCCACAAAAATATGTATGTGTTTTATTTAGGATAGTTAGAGATTAATTTGGAAACATTAAATATCAATTTGGGATGGTTAAAGATCGGTTTGGGATTAAGATTATATGATTGTAATTTTTTATAATTAATTAATTTTTTCTCATTCATGATGGTAAACAAATTAAATGTCAAATTATATTGTTAACTTTTATGTAAATAATTTTTTATTTGATTTCCTTTCTCTAACTTAAATATTTAATTTATTAGGATTTTTTTTTTTTCATATCAGAGCAGATCTAACAAGAACAATATGAGATAGAATTATTACACAATAAAATGAAAAAAAAAAAAAAACACTTGATTTCTGTTTCCTAGGTGATGTGTTAGGTCAAATCCACAGCTGGAAATGTTAAATGGGTTGTAATGATAACTATCCCACTGCCTACTAAAGGTGCAAAAATATGGTGGGTATCTTTTTTCCCTTTCTTCATTGATGAGGTTCCTCTTTTATTAAAGAGCTGCTCCAGTTATGCTCTAGAGTCCAGCAACATGGGGATGCATTCAATCCTTTGGCTTTCATATTCTTCTCTTCTTCCTTATTCTCGGCCTTGTTCCATCCAATAGTTAACACAATACGAATAACTAGGGAAAAGGGAGATAGGATATATTTAATCATGTATAATGGAGTCAATAAATTTGTTTGGAAAAATTATAACTCAAATTTAAAATTGAATGCAAGCAAATTTATTCATTTTGAATGATATTAATTATTAGTTTGCACATTATTAAGGTATATAATAAATTGTAATTAATGGCCATTCATTAATAATCAAAGCATGCCTTAAAAATTACAAATGTAAAAGAATTTAAACTTGTAATTTTCTCTTCAGGTGAATTAAATAAATAAAGATTAGAGAGTTAAAAAAGTGATATTGCATGATCATATATATATATATATAATACAACCATATAAATGCTCTTATTGAATTTAAAATTTTCATCATCTATATATAAAAATAATTTTTTTTTTTGTAAAAGATTAAAGAAACCCACTTGTGAATATTTTCTCGTGGAGCGTATGTAGTTTACATGATTTCCAAATGATTCTTTGAACATTGCAAAATAAAAGTAGGGACAAGATTCTAGCCCCATAAAAAAGGTTAAAAAGATGTCATATATTGAAGATGAGCAAGGTTTACACATATATTATGTGTATTTTGATAATTATTTGGTTTGCCATTTATGTAG